GAACATTTTTTGTTTGTTTTGCAAAGCGCAGGCCTCCTGTTCAAACCACAACCGGCAGTCTCCCTAATTTCATGGAATTCTAAAATTCACTTTGGCTTAAAGTGCAGCTCAGAGGGTGATTGGGTCTCTGACCTGCAGGAAAGCAAACAAACACGATCAGCTCCTGACGTCACACTGCCCAGCACCTGTCCAGGATTCCGTCTTGGACCTCATTAGCTCATTAGCGTTGACTGATTTACAAGTTAGCAGGAGACAAATCACTACCATGGGGGTACTGGGACTTTCGACTGGTGCTGGGAACATTCCAGGTGACAGAATTCAAGGGTTCCAGAAAAGGGAGAGGTAGGGGTGTGTGTGTGTGTGTGTGTGTGTGTGTGTGTGTGTGTATGCCTGTCTGTGTCTGTCTGTCTGTCTATGTTCTGTGTGCCTGTCTGTATCTGTGTGTCTGCCTGCCTGTCTGTGTGTCTGTCTCTGTGTGAGAAAGACTGAGATGGACACCCACTCATACAAAGGGAGGGAGGGAGGGAGGGAAGGAAGGAGGGAAGGAGAGAGAGAGGGAGGGAGAGAGGGAGGGACAGAGGGAGGGACAGAGGGAGGGACAGAGGGAGAGAGGGAGGGAGGGAGGGAGGGAGGGAGGGATGGGTAGGAGAACTTCCTTGACCAAGTCATTCCCACTGCTTGAAGAAATGGGCTTCAGGAAACACTCTTTCCCCAGCTCTGCGTTGCCGTGGGGTGAGGCACAACCCTCCCCTGGACCACAAAACCTTCTGCCTTTTCCCAGATTCTCCCCCTTCACGCCAGCTACCTGCTGCCTGGGTTGCACAATACCAAGCTCCTTTAGATTCCTACCTTTCCCGGGGTCAGATGTGCCTCCACACCCCGTTCCCTTCCTTTTCCTACCCCGCCTGCGTGGAGAAGAAGACAGCTGACCTCCAGAGGCAGATTTCCTACCCTGCCTTCCTCCCCTTGACACAAAGGAGGGCAGGGCTGGGTGTGGACAGAATTAAGGGCAGTGCAGGTGCCGGTGCCGGTGTGGAGGCTTGTGCCCGGAACACCGGCACTCTTAACCTCAAGCCTGCACTTGGCTGCATGGTATCACCCTTCCTTAAAAGAAAAACTAAACTGACTGGGCGTTGGTGGCGCATGCCTTTAACCCCAGCAGAGGCAGGCGGATCTCTGTGAGTTCGAGGCCAGCCTGGTCTATAGAGCGAGTTCCAGGACAGCCTCCAAAACAATACAGAGAAACCTTGTCTTGAAAAACCAAAAAAAAAACAAAACAAAACAAAACAAAACAAAACAAAAAAAACTAAACTAAACTAAACTGGAAAAGAGCAACACCTCAGGTCTGTCACCCTTTGACTGCGGGAAGTGATTGACAGACCCTTAGAAGCAAGCTGCACCATATTATGTGCTCCAAAACCAGCGGAGAATTCTGCACACCCGAGTGACAGAGCACAGGTCCCCTCTGGCCAGCAGGGGCCAAAGGAATCACTGTCCTGTGCCACTCAGGCCCATCTCGGAGACAATGACTTCTCCCACATGAAGGGGCACCAAGGGAGCTTGTTCTAAAAGAGAGTTCGTTTTGGTCCTAGCCCCTGGGATCTGTAGCCCTTTTCCTCCGTTGACTTGGAAGTCACAGCGTTTCTGAATTTTCATGCAAGGCCCTTACTGATTTTCGGGTGCTGGACAAACCACTGCCCGGATCACCCTGTGACCCATGAAGACGCTGTCAATCTTTCGTTCTCTGCATGAAGTAGTGCATGAAGGTGTGCATGGCTTTTAGCCGTTGATGTTTTGAACCCTCTCATGAAGCAGCTTAGGCTGAGCTTGAACCCTCATCCTCTTGCCTTGGGTTCAGGTGTGCCCCTAAGTTGAAGCCCAAGATGGCCCTCCTTACTTCACCTTGGAAGTCAGAGCTGGAAGGAGTTTCTTGGTGATTGGAGTTGACATGTGACCTGATGATAGCCAATGAGATGCAAGCAGATCGCGAGACTATGCGATCAGAGCTTCCCATTTTCTCGTAGACTATACTGGAAGGTAGGTAGGGGCAGATACTAACACTGCAGCAGCCATGCTGTGAACAGAGCTCTGAGAGGGGCGGAACTCAGTCTGAGAACTGAATTTAAGCTCAGCCCAGAGCTCAAATTCAGCCATTGGACCTCAAAGCATCATGCCTTGTTGCCATTGACTACCAAGCGCCATTTAAGGCTCTCACAGGTTCCTCTTGTCTGCACTGAAGGAGAGTTGATGGACACACTTTTTTTCACTACATACCTGCCTCCCCTCTGGACCAGTGACTTGATGGAACCCCATGCAGTCTCAGAGCAAAGCCCCCATCCCTGGGCCTGAGCACCTCACCCTGCCCCCTACTTTCAACACGTTGGAAGAATTGAATCTGCCCTGTGTTGCCTGATATCTTTAACATGGGTCTTCCCTGGATCTTTCTTCCCCTTACCTCTGTTTCCAGGAAAGGAAGATTGCCAGTCCCAAGCTCCTCCTCAGGTCCCATCTGCAAGCAGGGATCTTGGAGATGGTATCCTAAAGAGGTCACGTGGCAAGTCCAGCGTCTGCGTTGTCACAACCCTACTCCCAAGGCTGCAAACCAGGCTTTTACTCTTCTGGCAACGTCCCCTGACAAGAGTCCCCATCTCTTGCTGGAGGCTTTCCAACCACTTAATACAGTTTTTCAATTGCAGCTCTTATGGACTTGTGTCTCTACCCCTGAACGGGTTGCCACAGGGAGAAGTCTCCTCTCCAAAACTCTGACTGAAGGCATCAGAATGATCCCTAATCCAGAGCAATAGTCACCAGTGTTCATTATGAGGTAATGGCACCCAGCCTCAGATCAAAATTCCACAGCAAGCCCATTCATCACTACTCTCTCTCTCCTTCTCCACTGCTCACAGAAGAAAAGGATGTTCGGTGGTGCCTCGTAGGTAGCACGCATGCCAAGTACATGCAGCTTGGGTCATACCTCCTTTCTAAGGCTCCAGCAGGCAAGGTAAGAGCTTTCCAGGAGCTGAGCTGGGCGATAGGCTTGCTCAGGCAAGGAAGACCCCCGGGGGTGCATATTTGATGGTTCCCTCTCTACCACCAAGCTAGGAGTTAATTCCTCAACTCCACAGCTCTTTCAAAAAGCGGGGCATGACATGCGGAGAGCACATACGGTTATGAACGCTTACTCTGCCCTGCTGGGGGCAGCAGGGGAGCTGGTCCAAGAAGCCAGAGCCTCAAGCCCCAAGCCGAGACTCACAAGACTGCAGAACAAGGAGGTTCTAAGCATAACCTGTCCTAGAGTCACAGCTTCCGGAGTCCTAAGACAGTGGTGTTTGCTGAACCGGAAGAAGGACAACCAGGCTGTAAGCTGCAGCAGCGGAGGTCCTCACGTCTCACGCCCACGCCCACGGGTGGCAACAGAAAACCCCGCAGGCTCAGGTGCCCTGATTCAAGCCCTTCTCCTCACGACCTAGGCCACCTCCTCTTTGTATGTAATGCCACGTAGCCACCTTCAATCCCATCTCCGCTAACACACCTATCCACAAGGGAGCCATCTCATTCCCTCCTTCCCTATCCCTTGCCTCTGGTATGAATTTATTCCTACCTGACTGTGCCCAGGAGAGTAGGCGTGATGTTCAGTAGAAGAGGGCTGGCCACCAGGGACAGTGCCCCACCTCTGTGGCCATTTTTTTTAGCTACCATAACTCATGCTTGGTGAGCGGCCAGCGTAGCCCCACGAGGAAAGCACAATGGTGTGAAAATATTTGCTTCCAATATTTCTTATATTGCGCTCCATAAATCCATACACCCTGTCGCCTAAACTCTCTGCTCCCAGCCATGCCTCTTGGGCAGCTTTTCAGAGGACGGTCTCCCTGGCCTCCTGTAGTTTGGGTGTCACATTGCTTTCCTGTCTTGAGCCAGATTTGCTCCACCATGAGGTAAGTGACCCCAGTCATTTACAATGAAGAGACAGGGCGAATCTGACCAGAGATGTCTTCCTTGTGTTCAAATTCAGACAGAGAGATTGTATCCATTCGCATGCGCGTGGCCGTGCACCACGTACAATTTCAGTCAAGGATGTGCTTCACGTGTGTGTGATGGATGTCTCATAAAACTACACGAGAAGCGGGAGCAGCCCGTCACATACGGCCATGATCAACACCTTCCCATCGCGGCTCACACATTCCGCACATGTCTGTAGCGGTGCTGGCGTCCACAAACATGCTCTGCTTGCTGGTCACAGGAGAATAGAGCGCATACAGATATCTGCCATTCAAACGCAGGTGCACACACACGCATGTGCACACACATACGCACGTATACCTACTTCCACCCACAGGTGCGTGTCCAACAGCATACGCTTACACACGCACACACACACTCGCACACACACACCTGTGCACACACATATGTACATACACCTACTTCCACCCACAGGTGTGCGTGTCCAACAGCATACGCTTACACACGCACACACACACTCGCACACACACACTCGCACACACACACTCACACACTCACACTGTGTCCTGTCTTCAAGTGAGCCACCGCACCGTATCCACATACAGACACTTATTTGCTTCCGTACTCACCCTGAAAAGTCTCTCGGCAAAGATTACCCGCAATGGTGGTGGTGATCCAGATCTGCCCAGGTGAGTCTCTGGGTGTTGTGGTGAGACACACCAGGACAGCTACCAAGGAGGAGGAATCACTAGTCCTCCTTCCCTTGGAATGCGCCTGCTCTGAAGACATAGCCATTCTGGCCTCTGTCCCCTGTCCACATACACCGGCACACAGGCTGGCAAAGCGTAGGAAGCCAGAGGATAAAGTGGATACCTCCCAAGGAAGGGAAAAGGGAAGAGCAGAAGGAGGAGCTCAAAGCCGTGGACTCCAAAGGATAGCAGAGCAGCTGTGGGAACCTCAGGGCGGATGGTGAGTCTGCAAAGAAGTTATCAGTCACAGCCAGTTTCTCACCCTGCAACTCCGGTATTTTTCAGTGCAGACCCCGGGAAACAGTGCCCAGCTCTCCACTCCAACCTTCCCCCACCTGGGTAGCAAAGGTGTGCTATTTATGCGCAGAGCTGAGGAACAAAGCCGAACCGCACACAACCAGACCCACAACGAGTTAAGAGGGGCTTGAACGCCCTCCAAAGGCAGAGGCTCCATCTCCCCTCCTGAGACGCGACGAAAGTTGTTACGGTACATAGACAGCAACTCCTAAACTCGAATTTCAGGTAAGCGATAGATATCTAGTTAGTATAAGATGCCCTAGATATTTAAAAGGACATGTCCGTATGTAGAGAGAGAGAGAGAGAGATCTTTGGTGCCTGTGCCGCTAGCCACGCCTGCTTTGGGCGTGTCTACAGGTGCCTACGGAAGTAGGGAATAAAAGGCTGTTCGGGGGAGACACTCTCTCTTGGGGTTCCGGACGGGTCTCGGAGAGCAGCGGAGTGCTGACCTCAGTTTCCCTGCTTCTCATGTAAGTGACCTCTCCCTAAATAAATATCATATGGCATCCCTACCTTGTGCAGCCCAATCTTCCTCAACGTCCGTACCCCCGATGCCAAGATCATCTTGCTGAGACTCAGGCTGAACTTGGTGTTTAGGTTCCACTGTGATTTGGTTTCTGCTTTTAAATTTTGCTCCATTAACCAAAGGTAGGTCAGGCAAAAGCCCCGAGGTTCCTTTCGTCTGCTCCGTTTGGTGCTTTTCTCTCTTCAGCCTCAGAGACCCAGAACCCGGTGGCTACTCAGTCCACGAGGCTGGGTGTCTCTCAGCAGTGCCAATCTGGTCCCCAAGCCTGGGAGGAGTCCCCGCAGAGCCGCCGGTTCTCAGTCCATCCTGGAAGCCGAGGAGAGCTGGTTCCCACATTATGGAAGAACTCAGCAGCAACAGGGTGAATTAACCAGGCAGCCGGAGGGCAGGCCAAGTGGGCAAGCGAGAGTAACCTTGCAGTCTCCCTAACTTCCGCATCCTTTTTCATCCGGGCCAGCCACGTTCCAGGTAGGTCTACCCACATCGGTTAAGGCAGTCGAGGCAAATCCCTGTCAGGATACCCGACCTGATAATAGATGTCTCCTCAAATGCGACACCATGCTCGGGTGGTGTTTGGCCAAGTTGTGGCAAGCAAGGAACAGGGGACAGCCGTGGTGGTCATGGAAGAAGGGCGTGTCCTCACGTCTCTCATTGCTGTGACAAAATGCTTGACAGATGCAATTCAAAGGAAGGGAGGTTTGTTGCGGCTCATGGTTTCAGGGCCATCGCTCCATCGTGGCAGAGAAGCATGGAGTTTATAACAGAACTTTCCACCCACATCTTGAAGGTTGTGATGCAAAGAGCATTAGCCTGGAGCATGGGTCAGGATATAAGCGGAGCCAGCACCTGGTGATGGACCTCCAACCACCTTGTCTCCCAATCCAGAGGACCCATGGCTTCTTGTGACAGTGACCAGGTCTAAAGATTCAAACACATGTTCCTGTGAAGGACCCCTCTCATATCATATCAAGTACATATACAGAAGAGAGTATTATGTGTCTGAGGCATCCGCCGAGGTGGAGCTGTAAAAAAACAGGCCAACCAAGTGTGGTGGTGGGGGTATTAGAAACCCACTCTACCCGTAGGCAGTGATGCGGAGCCAGAGTGTCCAGACACCACCCGCTGCCTCAGAGTTTGACCATGAGGAAGCAACTGGGATGAAGATAACTCCTTGTTAAAGGATAAAACCTATGGCGGTTTGAAAGAAAATGACCCCCAAAGGGAGTGGCAGTATTAGGAAGTGTTGCCTTGTTGGAGCAGGTGTGGTCTTGTTGGAGGAAGTGTGTCACCGCGAAGGTAGGTTTTGGGGTCTCATCTATGATCAAGACACTGCACAGTGTCTCAGACCACTTCCCATTGCCCGTGAGCCAAGATATAGAACTCTCAGTTCCTTCTCCAGCACCGTATCCGTCTGCCGGGGGCCATCATGTCATACCATGACGATAGTGGGCTAAATCTCTAAAACTGTAAGCCACCCAGTTAAATGTTTTCCCTAACAGATGCTGTGGTCATGGTGTCTCTTCACAGCAATAAAATCCCTAACTAAGGCAGAAGTTGGTACTAGGGACTAGGGTGTTACTGTGATAGACCCGGCCATAATGATTTCAACATGAAAGACAGTGGTGCTGAAGATGATTTGAACTGCGGGTGCCTAGATCAAGAGGTTTCGGGGGGAGATGGATGTCAGTGTGTGGCCTAGAAACACACACTGTAAAATGTGCCAGCAGGTTCTTGGGACAGGGGCTAGGCCAGGCTCCCTCAGAGAAAAGGCAAAGCTGACCTAAGAGACAAGCAGCTTGGCAAGAGGGAGAAATCCAACCCTCTGCTCAGAAGGCAGGCCTTACAGCCTTGCTTGGTGGAAACCTGACAGATGCCTTCAGGAAGACAAGACAGCAGCGGCTAAAAAAGCCAAGAGAGCAACAGGGAGCTATGGCAAGACCAGCAGCAGGGGTCAGAGCATGTGCTGGGGTCTAAGGGCAGGTGCAGGAGGCCAGTGGGAAGAGAGGGAAGAGCTCTCTCCTTGGTCCTCATTGTCTCCAGTGGGACTTTTCTGTCATCCCTCTGTGAGCCTCACCTGTCTGCACTCCAGCTTAGGTGTCCCCTAGACAATCCACAAAGGGTCGTCTTGCCAAGAAGCGAGCCTAATACAATGGAACACAGCCTCTGCTGTGAAGTCCAGACTGACCTTAAACTCACTGATAATCCTTTATTACATTAAACATCTTTCAAGGATGGAAACCTTATAGATTACTCGGTAAAATGAGCTCCATAGATATAATACCTTAAACAAGAAATAGAAACACAGATACAGTTTAACAAAACGACCTTAAATTTGTATCAATACACAAAAATATCTTAAGCAAGAGTAGAAACATAGATGCAGCTTAACCGAAATAACCTTCAATTTGTATCAATGTACAGAAATCCATACCAATGTAAAATGTTTGAGGCTGCCAGCTGCCTTTTAGTTTAAAAGTAGATTTAGCAATCTACTCCTGCTATTCCTCTGGCCTCCCCTTTTCTTTTCAGAACAAGATCCTAAAATCCTGTTTCCTTTGATAAGTTCCCTCCCTGACCATGACCAATAACAGCTTCTGACCAACCTCTCCACCCAAGCAATGACAAGCAAATGACCAAAAACCACCCACCCCATCTCTCGCCAATGTGGGTGTTGTGTTCTTAAAACTACTTCCTGGTGATTCAGGGTTATGGCATCTTTAGGAGACCCAGGGGGGAGGGGGAAATGAAATAAAGATCAGGATCTGGGAGAACTAGCTGCTGTCCAGTCTTGGTGCGATGGGAAAGTGCAAGGCTTATCTGGAAATCTGACTAGAGCAGTTTATGATGCTGGACCATCTTAGCTAACCACATTGGAAATTGTCCTGAGGAGCTTGTAGTCCACAGAGGATCTTTCAGTGTTTGTCAGCTTAAAGGTGTTGTCACAACCCAGGTGGAATCTTCATTGTGGGATCCCATCATCTTCTTGCAGACTTCAAAGGTTGCTGTAAGGAATAGTTGTGGTTCACTGAAGAAAACATAAACATTTTAGATGTCACATGCAGCAGATCTCAGAGAGGTCAAAGGAACACAATCTGTAAGTATGTCCAGGGTACACAAGCTTAATTTTTAGTTACCTGCTTCCAATTCAAGCCCCAAATCACATATAGGAAGCTAAATGTTCTAAAATTTTAAAAGAATATTGATACCTTAAAAAAGTTTTAAAAAGTCAAAATAAAACCAAAGGATTATAAGATTAGTGGCATTATAATAGTTCTTAATTTTGGTTTTTCTTCTGTCCCATACCAGGTGGATCTTTTGAAATGACACAGAGATTCTGGACTTTCTTTTTTAGAGAAGGAGAGAGACATACCTCAACTCCAAAGTCAGCTTTAATCTTTTAATTGAATTGGGACTACAAAAAGACCATTTGTCTTTTGTGTCTGCAGAGAGTAGTAGAGACAAACATCTGAAATTTTTATGAGATTTTTATCCCTTTGGAAGTGATATATACTAATTTACTCTTTTTCTTGGGACATTTTCATTTCTTTGAATGCCGTTTCTGTTATGTACTGCAGTTTGTAGCATTTGGTTGTACAAAGGACAAGTAGGAAATTTCCTTACAATCCCCTTGGCTTGTTGCCGTATGATAGAAAAAAATCTTTCTTCAAACTTTTGCTGCTAACATGGTGCTTCTTATGAAGTCCTGAGGCTTCCAGCAATTTCCTACCAAGAGTAGATCAATGTCATTATTGCCTTGTGCTGGAGAGTCTGTCAGACCTGTGTGGGATCTAATATGGGTTATATGCAAAGGATGATTTTTAATTTCTGACTATTTCATTTAGTAGAATGAATAACATTAGATTAATTCTGAATTTTCTTGTATAAGTTCAGCAGTTTCAATATGTAAAACAACTCATTTTGAAAACTGAGAGTCAGTAGCTATATATATTAAGAGGTTCTGAAAAATATAATAATACCATGAGAATAGCACAGAATTCTGATTTTTGAAATGAATAATAAGGGCTTCGAGCAACTTTACTTATTTGTCCTGATTGGTAACCTGCCTTTCCTGATTTATTTCTGTGAGTACAGAAATTGTTATTCCCCATACAATGTGACGAAGGAGCCAATTAGTTCAGTTTAATCTCGTGCTTTTGGGACATTTGTTGCTAACTGCTCCCACAAAATTGTGGCAAGCTCTTTGTCAATATTCATCTTCAAAGCTAGGACCATTAGTACCTTTGAAATAACTCCAGTTATTGTGCCCTCCCTCCTTATGTTCAACCTCAACAGTCTGTAACCATTCTTGATAACGCCTTTTAATGTTTCTCTCAGGAGCATTTTTTTTTTATGATTTGCTCCTGGGATTGGAGAAGTGTTAATATGTTTTTCCATTGCTGCAACAAATCATGTCCCCATAAATCCATTGCTATGTTAGCCACATCTGGCTTTAATTTTCTTATCTGCCCTTCTGGCCCTATACACTCAACCTGTCCCGTACTTTGTTTTACCTGAGACAAAGGTCCAATACCAAGAAACAGACTATTTAACTCCTGAAGAGAAGAGTTTGGTGAATTTATTGTTACATCTTTACCTGTATCTACTAAGCACTCAATTTCAATGTTATTTACATCTATTTTTAGTTTTAGTCTTTGATCATGTATAGCAGTTTGACAAAAATACTTGTTTTCTGGTCTCTCCAGAACTTTTTTGTCATATTTACAGAAGTTGTTCTGTCTTTGTTCACACCCAGAGCAGTATGGTTTTAAACAAAGTTATTAAGTCCTTTTCATTGCTCTATGGATGAGTTTCTTTGGAGCTGATGGGGAATGATTGAGCCAAATTTGATATTGGGACCTTCATAATACCCCTCAGGGCATTTCCTGATGGCGAAGCATCACCTTGCCTGCGCCCTGTTAATCTGTACTCATTAGTTCAATATCAGCTTTTGCCACACCTTCTAAAAGCCTGGGGTCTTCTGATTAGATTATCTCTAGAACAGTCTTTGCCCCTAGGAATTCCTTGTCTACAATTCCTTTTCAAGTGACCTTGCTTACTACAATTAAAACATCTAATCTTTTGATTTTTTTTTTGGTTTTTACGAGGCAGGGTTTCTCTGTATTGTTTTGGAGACTATCGGTCCAGCCCAGCCTCGAACTCACAGAGATCCGCCTGCCTCTGCCTCCCGAGTGCTGGGATTAAAGGCGTGCATCACCACCGCCCTGCTTGATTTTTTTAATGTTTAGGAGTCACTTCTCCTATTCAAGTATCATCATAAACATGAAATCCAATTATCAGCTGTATTTATGATTCATTCATCTACAGGTGCTGATCTTGCCTTGAAAGGTCTAAATCACCATTTTGCATTCCAAATTAGCATTTTAAAAAGCCAAAGATTCAACTAATATTTATCTAAATTCTCAATCTGATATCATTCCATTTACAGCTCAAGTCAATTTGTATAAAAAAAAATTAGTGAAGTCTTTTTTTTTTTTTTTTTTTGGTGGGAGTGGGAGCCTTGTATAGTTTTAATAAATGACTCGGTCCTCTTTCCTGATTCTTCATCCCCCAACCAAAGCATTCAAAGCTGCTGTATAGCATAGAACCAAGGTATGATCATCGAATGAAGATTGTCTTTGCAAATTAACATACTGGCTCTCATTGGGGAGCTGATTTGGGGAAATTTCAGTATCTCTAGCCCTATTTTGTTGTTCTATTGTTCTAGCTTTCTCTCTCTCATGATTTCCATTATAACTGAGTACCATCTTCCGATATTACATTAACTAAGTATTTCCAGTCTCCTGGAATAATTCTGTTCAGAGTTGCCCATTACTTTAACAGCTGCTTCATAAAGGGTTAATGCATACCATAAGAGATGACTGCTTCTATAAATCTCTTCAAATCTAGCATTTCTATAGGATCTTGTATGGTAAATGGAGGAATTAAGGTTGGTTTTCTAATAACCCTAGGCTTCTTCTCTTCAGTTTCATAATGCAATGGTGCAGTAGGTTCTGCTCTAAATTCAACTGTCTTTTTCTGAGTATTTTTCTTATTGTCATTAGTATGTGCTTCTAAAGCTTGTATCTTATCAATAATAAATCCCTCTAAGGCTTGAATCATATCAGCCAAATTTTTCTCATTTTCATTAGTAAGTCTTTCTAAGGCTTACATCTTACCAGTAGAAAGTCTTTCTGAAGTTGGTATCCTATCAGTCAAATTTATCTTATTTGCATTGGTAAATCTTTCTAAGGCTTCTATCTTATCAGTAGCAAGTCTTTCTAAGGTTTGTATTTTGTCAGTCAAATTTTCATATTTGGCACAGTTACCAAGCCACTCTTTAAAGATAAAATATGAATTACAAAACTGATAATAATTAAAATTGGTATTATAATAATCCCAGCTAAATAATTTGTTCCCTCATTTATTTTTTTTCCCACTTGTAAGTTATCCATAGCAGAAGTAAACAGAACCTAACTACCCGAATTGTGGTATTTCAAATTCTTAACATTGGAACAATCCCCTCACCCATTTCTTTTTGAAACATCTAATTCCCCATTTAAAAATCCCCAAGTGTCATGGCCAGGCATGGTGGTGTACACCTTTCATCCCAGCACTTGGGAGGCAGAGGCAGGCAGATATCTGTAAGTTTGAGTCCAACCTGGTCTACAGAGTGAGTTCCAGGGTAGCCAGGGCTAAACAGGGAAACCCTGTCTCAAAAAAAATTTTGCAAGTATCTTACCAGATCTGATGACACTAGCATCATAGTTGGAACTTGTGGGTCAGTAGGAGAGGTTGTGGAGGTTAATCAGCCACAGTGATGATGTCCAACTGTGCCAGCATAGAGGGCAGGCATAGCAGGGTGTTCCAAGCCATGATAATTGCACGCTTGGGCTGGACACCACTGTGGCTACTCGTGTGCTGTGCAGGGAAGGGGGTGAGCTGGTGGGATAAATCTGGTGGGATAAATCTGAGCTGTTAGGACAAGACATTGGATGGGACCTGAATCCTGCTACTAGCTGTGGAGGGCAGGATGCATTTTAGGAAAGCCATGCTGCCTGCTATGAGCGGTGTGGGGTGGCTGACCAGATGTGTACACTGCTGGCTGTCAGTACAATGAAAACCTAGCGGCCAGACCAAAGACGCCCACTCATGCAGCAACAGGGCTGAGGGGGCATGCAGCAGGGAATATTTTCTCAGCATCATCTAAGACACCACATTGGACACCAGATATAACATTTACCTAATTGGCTTTACTATCATAAAAACTTGCGGGTCAGAAATTGAGATAAAGACCTGAGGAATCCAAGGAGCAATGGAGAATCCAATTGGCGAACCCTCTCTCCATATTTTCCTTGACCCAACAGCCCTGGAAATACCCAGGGAAGGAAATTCCCTCTTTCTCACTCCCTGTCCCTCTCCATCAGACCTCTTGAGTCCTCCGATGACTCTATGGCTAAGGGAGGTCAACCAGTTTCTGACTCCATCCTTTGATTCAAGGTGGCGGTGTTGGCACAGTGGGATGGCTGAACCAACAGTTCTCCCACAATGTGGTCCCACCCCCAGGGACTCTCCAGAGGGTCCTCCCAGCCTTTTGTCCCAGTCCATGGCTTCAACATTGACCCTCTCTTCTTCCGAAGCATCTAGTCTCTTAGAATGAGCACTCTTGAAATTTTCTGATTCTTCGGGATTCAGACAGCCACAGGAGGACCATCCAGCCTCCAGGGAAGGACCACCCAACCTCCAGTCTTACAAGCCAATCAAATCCATCTTGTTTTATAATTACAGATGCCTACATATAACACTTATATAATACATATGTCCTTTAGGTATCTTTAACTGACATGGGGTATCTTCACTGTGTGAAAGCAAAGATGAGTTGGATTTGAGAAGAAAGATCACAGCTGAGCTTTTTATGTCACTAAGCTTCTGAAAACCTTGAATCATTTGCATGAAGATGAAAACTAGACAGAACTGTAGGCTGGTGCTTGCGGAAACTGTCTGTCGAAGGTTAGTATATGGAAGTTACAGATACAGAAAGATGATGGGTAGAATACATCGGCAGGACCCGCCATACAACATGGCAGCCAGTTAAATAGCAACTTTTCGTACACTTGGAAATCTTGAGGACTAAATTTCAAGTGTTCTCACCACAAAAATGGAATGGTGTGAGGAAACGCATGTTGATTAACTCGATTTCACCTTCCATGACTTATGCCTACTGTATACCATAGTTACAAGCTGTGTTTGTTTAGATAGTTACAATAGGTGTTAGAGAGTGCCTCAGGGACTAAGAGCACTAGCTACTCTTCCAGAGAACCCCTATGGTGAGTCACAGCCACCTATTACTCCAGTCCTGAAGGTCTGAACAGCCTTTTTCTTCTCTCTGAGGCCACACAAGGTACACGGACAGACATTTGGACAAAAAGAATCCATATATATTAAATAAAAATCAATATAATAATAAATTTGAAAATGGTAAAAAATATTAAAGGATATTATGAAAAGAATTGGTGAACCCACATTTTTGGCTATTCTAGATGAATAGAAGAGATCAAACCTGGAGGAGGCAAGGTTGATGTTGGAGTGGTGAGAAGAGGAGCAGGAAGAAGGGACAGCCGGACAACAAGGCCAGCAATGGCTCCCACAGTGAGTGAGACATGGCTCATGAATGCAGAGCCATTAACGGCCAAGGGAGCCAAGAATTTTCCTCTGGATTGGATGTGGTTTGACCTCCATCCATCTGTGTGCTGGAACCCTGACCTTCAGTCTGGTAGAATTCATAAGAGATAGAGTTCTGTGGGAGATCCTTAGACATTGCCCCACTCCCCCAGAAAGGATTAAGACATTTCTCTGGGGAATCCAGGCAAATTCTCTCTAGGGGACATTGTTATAAGCAGTCTGATCACCGTCCTGCTCAACCTGTCCTGCACCAAGAAATGATCCCTTCCCTGATACATGTTCTACCGTGTGTCATGAGGACCGTGCAAAACATTCACTATTTACACTTTCAGCCGGCAGACCAGTGAGCTAAATAAACCTGTTTTCACTCATAAGGAGCCCATGTGAGGTGTTTTATGATAGTTCTAAGCAGGCTGATACAAATGTAAAACAGCCACCGGGCAAAGCAATGCATAGGTCTAGATCATCCGTAAACAAATGGCCGTGTTGTTAGGGCAGTGGGTAGATGGAAAATGGCGGGGGCTTCCCTGTGAATTAGAGGTGAGGAGATGGAGCAAAAGTTGGAGAGACGCCCACCTGTCGTCTCAGTTACTTGGGAGACTGAGGCAGGAGGATCACGCGTTTAGGGTTTTCCCTGGGATACAAAGTGAACTCGTTTAGGGTTTTCCCTGGGATACAAAGTGAACTCAAGTGGGCAGCTTCGGAAGACTGGCTCAAAATGAAAAGTGCAGAGACAGAAGACAATGCAGCACTTGCTGAGCACGAGGGAGGGAGGCCCTAACTTTAGTCCCAGGGGTGGAGCCTTGGGAGGGGAGAGATTCAGGGGGAAGCAATGAGTATGAGGAATTCTTCTGTTTGTTTTGTTGTTGTGTGTTTTTTGTTTGTTTGTTTTGGTTTTCTGGTTTCTCAAGACAGGTTCTGGAACCCACTACACAGACCAGGCTGGCCTCAAACTTGCAGAAATCTTCCTGCCTCTCAAGTGCGGGCATTAAAGGCATGCGCTGCATCCATTCTTTACAAAACCAACTGCCATCCTTCCCCAGTTTGGCCACAACTGGAAAATGACTATAGGCGTTGAAGGAGGGCTTTTGTGAGCTTTTTCCTTTGCTTACTTATTTGAAGGTAAGAGTACATTTGCATCAATAAGGAAACCCCTCTGAGAAAGAATCCTCTTGTAGCCAGTGGGAAGTAACAGCTAAGAAATGCAGTTTGGTAGGATCCTAGGAAGCTAGGAGGCAGTGGGCTGGGAAAGCTTAGGAGGGGGAAGGTTCCCTTGTTATCCAGCAGCAGGGGGGTGGAGCTGGGTGGAGGATTTGTGCAGGTGTCAAGCACTAAAGGATGCAAGTGTTCCTGGGCAGTGGCCTCCACCAGGTGGAGGTCTCATCTGCATATTTGTTCAGTTCCATTCCTGAGTGCTGAGAACAGGGCGTGGTTGTGCTCTGAAAGAAGTCTCTTTGGGTAATCCTAGAAGCCTACCCAAGTATGTCAGCAGATCCGAGGGATCTTGGGAGTTGGTGGTAATGGCTTTAGAGGGGGAAATGAAATAGCTTGTGATCCAAGGAGGGGAGGCTGAGTAACCCTCACTCTGCTCACCCAGGTGATGGGAGCCTGTCCATCCCCGCTTACAGAAAACTTACTGGTCCAAATAACACGGCAGTTTTGGCCCCTAGCATGACATTTCTTACCTGAAATCACAGCTGTGTGCAAATGGTGAGTTTGGAGCTAATCTTGTCTACAAAAAGAAAAAGTCGAAATAAAATAAAGCAGATAAAATAACAGCCCAGGTAACTCCCCAGCACTCCGAGAGGCTGTAGCATATGGAACGCTACATGTTTGAAGCCCTCCTTGACTGCATGGTAAGACTCTTTCAAAATAACACAGTTTACTTCATTAAATTGAGTTAATACCCCCCAACACTTTGGAAGCTGATGCAGGAGGATTCTAAACTCAATACCAGCCTAGGTTTAACTAGAAAAACGTTGACTGGAGAAATGACAGCACTGTGGATGGCAAAGCAACTTTCACTCCCTACTTTGTTGCATGCTCTTGTGACACCGCGGCTAACCCATTATTTATACGCTCTGTTCTGCTAGTTACTGCTTATGGTTTCAGGCAGAGAGGGAGCTAATGGCACTTCCCGAAAGATCTGAAACTTGCAAAAAGTGTTACAAAGACTCGGGGGCGTGCAAGAGAAGCAGTAATTACTACCTCAATAATCAGGAGGTCTGATGTGAATGACGTGTACCTTCAGGGTGTTTCTGGGGTTTTTTTTTGTGTGTGTGTGTGTGTGTGTGTGTGTTTTCCAATTGCATTCGGGCACAGAATCTCATTTGCTCATGAACAAGGAGATTACGACTAGACTGTTTCTAGCCTGTGAAGTAGGTATCTGTAGTTGAAGGTTAAAGAAAAAGAAAAAAAAACATCAGAATGAAGATAGGAAGTCTATCTGGTATCAATGATACCAACACTCAATAGTATCTCACACAGACGGACAGTGGGGACAAAGTCTCCAGACTCGGCATTTTGAATAGGTTTAAGTTGGGGGGGGTATTCCATTTTTACCATAGGCAGCATACCCGGCGGCTGTTTTAAGACTAAGAGATGTGACCACTGCTTCCCCTTCTCCTTCAAGCAGGAACAGCTGCCGTGGATCATACTGGTCCAAAGTCATTTTCTTCATCTATTCTTTCTGGTAGAACTGCGATACAACAAAATCCCTGCCTGGGGGAAAGGACATTTTCTTGAGTGTGTAGAGGGCCAGCGTCATGGTCAATGTCTGACCACTCCATGAATCTAAAAGTAATCTCACAGAGCCCGGGGCCGCTCAGAGGAACCCAGTAAATGTGTCATTTTTTCCCCTGTGTGCTTCAATTCCAATGCATGATCCATACAAAAAAACTGCCCATACACCTTCTATGTGGCTAAACATTTGGCTGATATTAGCAAAGAAAGAAATTACTTGGCAAAAATACTAAAGATATGACAGCGTTATTTTTCTAGAGATGAATTAGGAATAAGGAACTCGCTGAGGATTTGGGATGTTGACATTAGATGAGGGACGCGGTCTCGTTTTCCTTCCAAGGAGCAGGGGTTTTTTTTGGTTTTGTTTGTTAATCCGTGTGAGGCTAGGAATCATGTTAGGAAGACATCCTTGCGTCTCCGGGAGGAGTCAGCAGCGTGTGCACTGGGATAGGGTACGGCTGAGTCGATTGCATTTCTTAAATGTCTGAGACTACCAGGAGGATCTATTAAGCCGGAGGACCCTGTTAATGCAACATTAGAGCGCTTGATTAGAGGCCAGCACTCAGGAAAATCATTTTCGGCTTCGCACATGCTACATTGCACATGTAATATGTTGTGTTTGATGTTATTTGTCATTTATTAAATGTGTGCACTAATATGAAGTGTTCCCACTCCTGACTGCGGAGTGATAAGAAGGGCAATCTTGTGTCACCCTCGGGGTCAAGAAGTCTGACTTCCCAAGGCAAGCCCACCCTTCCCTAAGTTCATTCGTGTTAAGTACACACTGCTCTCCCAGGTCTTGTGTAATATGTCTGGAGACTACGACTGAATTGCACGCAGCCACTGGCCGCCCCATCAACCCAGAAGTTCACAGTTCAATAGGGGAGAAGGAGCCCCAGAATTATGATGCAAATGAATTAAACCACTGTCTCAAATGCAACCATATTGTTATACCAAATGCAGCAGTCCATAGTTACGGGTATGCTAGTTAGTTCTCTCGTTCACTTGGAACAAACTGAGAGTCACTTGGGAAGAGGGACCGACAATTGAGGAATTGCCTCCATCAGACTAGCCAGTCGCGATACCTGCGGGGGCATCTTCTTGATGAATAATAGTAGATGTGGAGGGGCCCAGCCCACGGCTTTATAAGAAATAAGGCTGAGCAAGCCACAAGGAGCAAGCCAGAAGGCAGCTCCCCTCCATGGTCTCCATCAGTGCCTCCAGGACCCTGTCTTGGGTTACCTGGAAGGGAGACTTGAACCTGTAAGCCAAACAAAGCCTATCCTCTCTCAGTGACTTATGGCCATGGTGTTTACCACAGCCACAGGAGGTGGAGGAGGATAGTAAGGAAGGCACTGCAGAGTTTGTGACTCAGAAGGCGGGGTGTTGGCTTGTCCACACCACGGCACATCAGGAAGCAGACAGCAGGCTACACCCTCGGTCTAGCGGTGTAGCGGGACCTCTAAGTAGATTCTGCTTTCTAAAAGCCCAAGTCTCCCAGCAGCAGCAGCAGCAGCAGCAACTGGAGAGCAAGCCTTCCCTCCCTGAGCCTGGGCAGAGGAGGAGGGGAGTAATCACAGATATAAATCCACCAAGTCTCACACTGCTCATCCTGAGTCACATCCACCCGGAATCCACAGAGACAAGCCTAGATTCTGCTGTCACTTCTCTCCGGCCACCAAGAAGCACGACTCCCCCATCGAATACAGCTGAAGGGACGCTAGTTCACAAAACATCGTCTCTTTATTATGTCCATGAGACATGCCTATCCAATGTGCTGGCTGAAAAATAATCAAACGTTTTATTGACAGCCGAAAACTTGGCGTTCCTTCTTCCCCTTGCCCTAATTTATTTAGTGATTTTTTTTCGGCAATCTTTGTTGCCTCTTATGAGCAGGGCTCCTGTAAGTCCCCTTGGTTATGCCTCTGCTGACTTCTGTTTCCCTGGGATAACTCCTACAAGAACAATGACAGCATCAGGCTGTTCTATTTGCTTCCCAAATTGGCAGACTCATGTTTATCATTATTATTATTATTTGCTTTTATCTTGCTCAAACTTTTTTGATCCATTTATTACACCCTCATGTCATTTAAGCACTAAGCTCCAAAACTCCACGGGCCTATTGTCTACCTGAGTGGTTTGTCCCTTGAGAGCATTCCTGATGACACACTAGATGCATGTTGGTCACTTCAGATGCTTCTGACTTTTCTGGTTTTAAATAATTATTAAAGTGCGTCCCTTAACTCTTGCTAACTCCCCTGCAGCTTTACTTCTACCGTGGCTATTTAATATATTTAAAAAACCGTTTTATGAACTTCGGGCGATACTTTATTGACACACACTATCAGACCTCCGTGTCCCTTGAACTCCTCTGTCAATCTGCACTCATTTCAAACCTTGATGTGTGTCGTGACGAGACCAACACAGACAAGCTCCCGCATCTGAAATTCCTAGTTCTTTCCACCTATTTGTACATTCGTAGGCCGATACCTCTGTTCGTCAATGGTAAGTGCTTCATGAATTTGACATCGCGCAAAGACAGTGCGTGGCTTTGATCTCATTCTTCAGAATTCCACAGCAGTCCACACATAGTTATCTCCCATTGGAATGTGAGAATCTG